ACAGTCTGTTGAGAGCACTATGGAAGTGCTCAGCCCAGCTCTCCAGGATCATGTCCTTATCACTAATCAATGTGGTTCCATCAACACTGAGTAGTTGAGATGCACCAAAGGTCTTTGGCCCAGAAATAGCCTTCATGGCATCATGAAAAAGCTTTGGATTGTTGCTATCAGCATAATTTCATCTGCTTTTTTACTGAGCCAAGAATCCTACATCTCTCCAAGCTTCACTTGCACTTTACTTTTTTTAGTTTTATTTTTTCTCTTATTAATTTTAGTTTTCAACATTCACTTCCACAAAATTTTGAGTTCCAAATTTTCTCCCCACCTCGTCCCTCCCCCCACCCCAAAACGGCATGCATTCTGAATACCCCTTCCCCCCAATCTGCCCTCCCTTCTATCTCCCCCACCTTCCCTTAGCCCCTTCTATTTTCCTGTAGGTTAGGATACATTTTTATACCCCATTGCCTGTATTTCTTATTTCCCAGTTGCATGTGAAAACAATTTTTAACATTTGTTTTTAAAATTTGGGGTTCCAAATTTTCTTCCTCCCTCCCCACCCACCCTCACTGAGAAGGCAAGCAACTCAATACAGGTTATACATGTGTAGTCATGCAAAACACTTCCATAGTAGTCATGTTGTGAAAAACTAAGTATATTTCCCTTCATCCTATCCTGCCCCCCATTTATTCTATTCTCTTTTGACCCTGTTCCTCCTTAGAAGTGTTTGCTTCTGATTACTCCCTCCCCCAGTCTATCCTTCTCTCTTGTCCCCTTCCCCTCCCTCCCATTTTCCTGTAGGGTAAGACAGATTTCCATACCCAATTGAGTGTGTATGTTATTCCCTCCTTAAGCCAAATCCTATGAGAATAAGATTCACTCATTCCCTCACTTTCCCCTGTTTCCTTTCCACTGTAAAAGTCTTCTCTTGCCTTGAGATAATTTACCCCATTCTACTTCTCCCTTTCTCCTTCTCCCAGTATAATCCTCTCACCCTTTAATTTTATTCTCCAGATATCACCCCTTCATCTTCAACTCACCCTGTGCCCTCTATCTATGTATCTATCTATACGTACATATAATTTTCTCCCCTCCAACCACCTACCCTAATACTGACAAAGGTCTCATGAGTTACAGATATCATCTTGCCATGCACTTTACTTTTAATGGGGTTATACTCTGCCTTCTTAGATATGGGTGCAATATCCTGTTGGTAAACCCTTTGGGGTTCTCATTTTTTTTTCATTTAGCAGCTTCTGAATTTCCCCATCACTTCTGTCAAACTGGTCTTGATGTTTTCAACTATTCTGACCCAGATGAGCAAACGCAGTGCTGTACACCAAATCTCTGAAAGCTGCCCACTCCTTCTCTGCTCCACTGTTGCCGGCCACGAGTCAGTTCAGCTTTCTCTAGGTTAGCAATGAACTGTTCCCACTCAGAGAATTGCTGTAATCTGTTGACACGAAGTCTTCCGGTAGTTGTCTTGCCTTGGGGTCGCTGCTTTTGTTGAATAGGAATGGGTAGCTTGGAAAGGATAAGTCTATGATTGGTTCAGCACTCGGTGCCACACATCCTGTCCGTCTCTTCTCCTTACAATGACCTAGTCTAGTGAACGCCAATATTTGCTGTAATGGTGCACACATGAAGCTTTGTGTTTGGGTAAATGGAAGACAGTATTGGTGATAAGGTCACAAGGTAAAGTGACTGTCGCTATTGCTGTTTCCCCATCCATTCCTCCCAAGGACTCCCTGCCACGCCTGGTAGTCTGTGCCTACTCGGGCGCTATAGTCAGGACCCTCTTTTGGCACACTGATGATGTGGATCTCTAGCTCTTCATAAAATTTTTCTTTGGCCTCATCAGGGTTCATCGTGGTGGGAGCGTAGGCATTGGCATCACATTGTCATGAGCCTGTCATTGACCCCTTCTGGGAGGCATACAGGCTTGTTGACTAGATTAGTTTTGAGTGCCAAACCTACGCCATCTTCACGGCGCTCCCCTTCAGTGGGCCACTCTAGAAAAACGTGTATCCAGCTCCAACTTCAGTAAGCTGGCCTTCATTTGCCAGCCTTGTTTCACTCAAGGCTGCTATTTGGGTGCGATACCTGCCAAGTTCGTCTTTCAGGTCTACTGGATTTTGTGTTTTCCGTAAGTGTGTGCACATTCCATGTACGCATGGTGAGTGGAATCATCTTTGCAGTTTTTGTACACTTTTTGTTTCAATTGCAGGATGGGGTGAAGCAATTTTTCGAGCACCTTCTCTAGACCCTTCCTGATGCCAGGAGGTGCAGAGTGTAATCCTTCAAAGAGGCTGCGTAGACACCCAGGGAGCAGCTGAATCCCACTGCTGCTTCAGTCCCATGAAAGGACAACGCTATGGCCTGGGCTGCCTGTGCGCAGGGCTGTGACTACAGCTCCCAGTGTGGCCACACCTGCTGTTTTGTCACTTGCCACAGGACTCTGAGGTGGGTAAAAATGGTAGCACAGTATGGGTGATGTCTTTTGACGGGTCTCCCCAGACTGCTCCGTTTCAATGATGGATGGCCTTTTCTCAGACCCTCCCCTCCCAAGGCTCTCATGACTTATCTCTGGCTTTTTCCCCATATCCTTCACTGACTTATCACCCAGATCCCAGCCCCTGACTGCAGGGGTGGCCCCCAAGGCTCTGTCCTGGACCCTCTCCTCTTCTCTTTCTAGACAATTCCACTTGATCTCATGAGTTCCCCTGGGTCCAATGATCATCTCTGCAGACGATCCCCAGACATCTCTCTAGATTCAGCCCTAAGGCTCCCTCATTCGCTTCCAACTTGACCAATCCACTTGGCCCTCAATTCAGTGTGTCCAAAACCACTCTCATTCCCTTTCCTCCAAACCCATGTCACCTGTGGAAGGTGGGCAGCCCCCTACCCCTTCCCTATCCACCACTTTTCAGTCTCTCTTCCTTCCTCACCCCACAATAGCCAAGCAGCAACCAAATCATTGCTTCTCACAACCTCCATGTTGTCCTATCTGACCCCTTCTGTCCACTCACAGGCCCTCCCCACCTGTCTGGAGACTGGCTTCTGGATGGCTCCTCCTGCCTCCACTGTCTCCACCCCAAACCATACTCAACACAGCTGCCAGGGATTTTTTGAAAAGGTCTATGTCATCTTGTAACTCAAGGAACTTGCCTGGCTCTCCACTGCCCTAAGATGAAACTTCCCCAATTTCTAACACCCTTCGTGACCTGATCCCAACCTACCTTCCCCAAACTGACAAACCGGATTCTCCTCTCCCCTGCAGCTGGCCATCAGCAGCCCACTTCCCCCATCAAGGTCAGCACCAGGCAGAAGGCTCACCTTTCTTACCTCCCACTCTCAGAATCCAGACTCAAGAACCTTGAACACAGGACCTCAGGGGGTCCCTTCCACCAGAAGTATCCCACTTTCATTTTTCACCCTTTTCTATAGGTGTATCTCCTCACCCCTGGAGAGAATGTAAGCTCTGGAGGGCAGGGTTGGGCTTATCACCCTCTCTCCCGTGCCCAGCTCAGTGCCGTGCATCTAGTAACACTAAATCAATGCTTGCTGACTGAATCCAGACTCATCTTGCCCCATCTATGCAAAGGCCAAGTTGTCTGGCAAAGCTCAAATGAGCCACTTTATTTTTCCTAACAACAGGGCCAGCCCTCATTGCGTGCCTTCTCGACGTCACTATGTGAATTTTAAGACAGAACCTCTCTCCTGCCATTATTCACTCAAGGGCAGGATTTTTCTTCAGAGCCAGCAAGGGGGAAGGGACTTTTTATCCACTGACTGTGGCTATTGGAAATATTTAGAGGGAAGTATTTTAGTTATCAAATAAATCTTTCCCTTAGCAGAAGTTGCAATTCAACTCAATAACTATGAGGCACCTACTGTGGGGCAGGCACTGTGGGAAGTCATGGTCTCCAGCAGTAGAGGTTGTGCCCACCCCACAGGGCACAGAACCAGGGCTCCGCGAAGGGGAACAAGAGTGCAGAGCTTGTCAGTGGCCCTGGGAAACAGGAAGAGCTCAACCCCTCAGGCAACATCTGGCGCTGGTCCTGGCAATCCACTTTGCCAGAGGGTGACATCCTGAGTGCACAGGATTGCTGTGCGCCAGCCTCAGAACACGGCCGGCTTGCCGGGTTTTGGCCCTGGAAAACAGGTAAATCTCCAAAATATTTCGACAACAATAAAGTCAGTCTCTGCCCTCGAAGAACACACAACCTAACTGGGGGAGACAACACACAAGGGGGCGCCGCAGCACACAGAGCGTCGGGCCTGCAGTCAGAAAGACTGAGTTCAAATCTGGCCTCAGCCACTTACCAGCTGGGTGACCCTGAGTAAGTCACTTCACCCTGTCTGCCTTAAGTTTCCTCATCTGCAAAATGGCCAACCCCTTGGGTACATCACAGAGTCGGACAGGCGGTACAGTGATTGGCTACTGAGAATGACCCTATCGTTTTCCTTTTCCTGGGGGGCAGGAAGCAGGGTGCCATCGCCGGCCCCACGGGAGCCCCCCAGCACTTCTCCACAGGCTGAACAGGAGGAGGACAGAAATCTCAGGAAGACGGAGGTGCCACAACGGCCTCCACAGTCAGAAGATGGCCAGGGGCCTGTGGCCGACGTGGTGTGTGGGACCAGACACGGGGAAGGTCCCTCCGTCCAACGTGCCACCCATGAGGCTTCTGGGCTTCCGGGCTTCCAGAGGAGCCAGTATGGGCTTGGATTTCCCAGAGCCCGACTGCGAGGATCTTGGGAGCCACGCTGTTTGTTAGGCCGCTAGGGGGCGCCACAGCCAACCGCCAGGCCTAGAGTCGGGAAGACTCCTCCTCCTGAGTTCAAATCTGGCCTCAGCCACTTACCAGCTGGGTGACCCTGAGCAAGTCACTTCACTCTGCCTCAGTCTCCTCATTGGTGGAAACAACAAACCACTCCAGTATTTTTGACGAGAAAACCCCACAACAAAGAGTCAGACACAACTGAACAAAACGGGCGCGAGACATTTTTTGAAAAGGTTTATTAATGCATCTGTCAGAGAGCACGAGAGAGGTACGTACAAATTACCATCCCTGGCATGGCTGTGGGCACTTTGGGGGCCTCCAACCAGGCCCAGCGGCTTCCCCTGCCTCCTCGGAAATGTCTCGGGACAGGTGACACCCAGGCCGACCCCAGAGGGAGGACAGGAGGTGTGGACACTGCCCAGAGACCCCCCTCCCCAGTGGGGGTCTGGCCTCTCCCGGATTGTCTTCCAGAGCTTTCAATGGAATCAATACACTTTCACCCCAACAAAACAAAGTCTGCTCTACAAACGAATGCCCCTCCCCGGCCCCTCCCAAAACATCCCATAATACTCTTAAAATAACAGGTTCAAGCAATTAGAAAATGACTTAGTGTGTACAGGCTGCTGCAGGGTGGTTCCGATACAAACAGGCCCAAAGCTGGTGTAGTGTTTATTAACAAATCTTCTCCCTTCATCAGGCAGGGATATAAGGAGGGGGCGGGTCCTTTTCCGGCATCTTCACAGCCATTTCATACGTGGGCAGGATATACTAGAGGAAGAAGGAGCCGTTAGCTTTCCTCTCACCAGAGCCCCCTCCCCAGTGTCAGTCACAGCACAGGACCCTGAGGGTGCGTCCTCCCAACCCTGCCCCCCCACTCCCCCTTGTCCTGTCTCTGCTATCCCTCATCTCCTTGAAGGGAGGAGGCCCCGACCGCCCGGCTGCCATCACGCCTCACATGGAGATCCCAAGGCAGGCACCCCACGTTAACCCCCATCGCCCAAGGAAGGGGCCAAGATACCCTCAATGGTTCACCATCCACTGGGGGAGGTGAGGCATGCACAAAATGAGGCTGACCCCACTAGTACAGCAGACAGGCAGCCTGGGTTAGCCCGCCTAGCAAAGTCACTCTCGGAGTGACGGCTGCCAGCACTTGGCATGGTGCCTGGCACAGTAGGTACTTGACAAATGTTCATGGATTGATCGACTGATCCAGTCTGGAAAAATGCCCTACTCTGGCATGTGGGCGAGGCTTCCTGGGGTGTATAAGCTGGGTCTTGGGGGGCAATCAGGCTTTAAAGAAGCGGGTCCAGCATGAGGCCGTTAGGTACTGAGAATGGGCAGAGGAGCAGGAGTGGGAAGGCCAGGGTGGGTCGGGAGGACGCTCATTAGAGCAGTTTGGGGAGGAGCCCGCCTGGGCTCCCAACTGGCTCCCCTCAGTGCCCTCCCTGCTCTCCTAACTGGGACAGAAGGGCCAACGGCCTCTTTCCCCTGCCTGGCAGGGGGTGACTCCTTGTGACTTGGTGCAACAGGTACCCTAGCAAGGTTCTGTCCTGCAGCCAAAGAGGCTCGCTCTCCTTAGTGAGCACACCCTTCTTCTTCCTTTGTATGGCCAGCTGGGACTGGGAAGCCAGGGAGATGGGCGACAGCCAGAGCCAAGAGAGGGAGACCAGGGTCACGAGCGAAGAGGATGTGTCGGGGAGGGACGGGAGAAGCCTGGGAAGGCAGGAGGGGGTGAGACAATGAAGGGCTTGGACAGCCCAACAGAGTGTTTTGTCCTAGATCCTGGAGGTGACAGGGAGCCCCTGGAGGTTACTAAGTAGCGCTGACACGGTCAGACCCGCAGGTCAGGAAAATCCCTTCAGGGGCTGGATGGAGGATGGACTGGAGGGGAAAGACTGAGGCAGGCAGAGCCCCAGCAGCTGCTGCTACGGTCCAGGTCCAGGTGGGAGGCGGTGGGGGCACGGGCAGAGGACAGAAGGGGGCGTGTAGGACATGTTGGGCAGATGACCACAGCTTGGATCTGGGGGGAAGGGGGTGAGAGTGTGAGGAGTCCAGGAGGGAAAGTTCAGGAGGAAAGATCAGGCGTTCTGGTTTGGACGTGTTTCTGTTGTACACCTGGCTGGAGATGTCTGAAGAGAGACCAGGGCAGGAAAAGTAGACCTGAGATGATACACTTAGAGGACAACCTGGGTTAAGGATCTAGCCAAGGAGACAGAAAAGGAGCCGTTGGGGAGGGAGGAGAACCAAGACACAGAAACAGTGAGAGATAGAGAGACAGCGAGAAAGACAGAGACAAAGAGACAGAGAGAGGAGACAGAGATAGAGACAGAGAGATGGAGAGGAGAGAGACAGACAGAGAGATAGAGACATCGAGAGACAAAGAGACGGAGACAGAGACAGAGAGACAAAGGAGACAGAGAGAAGAGAGAAACAGAAGAGACGAAGGAGAGGAGAGAAAGTATCCTGAAAACCCAGAGAGAAGGGAGTCAAGGAGGAGAGAGTGACCCACAGCGTCCGAGGCTGCACAGAGGTCAGGAAGCACTGGGTTTGGCCACTAGGAGATCGCCCCTCACCATGGTGGAATGACGAGGCTGGATGCCAGACTGGGAGGGGTTCACGAGAGAAAGGAGAGAGTGGATTCTCCTAGTGTCTACATTCGGCCTTGGGGGAGTTTAGCTACAAAGGGCAGGAGACAGAGAACAAGAGTCAGCAGGGAAAGAAGGGTCAGATATGGGGGTTCTTTCAGTGGAGGAGAGACTCGGGCATGTCTCTGGGCAGGAGGGAAGGAGCCAGTAGCGACGGAGAGACTGAAGACAAGTGAGAGAGGAGATGAGTGGGGGGCAGTCTGCTGGAGGAGATGGGACGGAAGGGGATCGTCTGAGCAGGGTCTGCCCTGGACAGGAGGAAGGCCACTTCATTATGGGACACAGGGTTGAGAGGGGCACAAGGCACCTGAGTGATGAAGGTGAGGAGGAGGAGAGAAGAGGGAGCTCACGGCCAACGGCCGCCATTTTTCTGTAAAATATGAGGCAGGGGTCTCAACTGAGAGAGTCGGGGGAGGGGAGCCACGGGAGGCTTGAGGAGGGATGAGAAGCTCTGGAAGAGCCTGGGAGGAGAGTGGGACGGTGCCTGCCTGGCAGCAGTGAGGGCCCAGGTGAGGTTGTGTGGCCCCCGACAGAACTGTGTGGTTTTCTCCACCTCTGTTCAGTAGCCTGTGTGTAGGAGTGAAGGTGGTGAAGGATGGCAGTCACCCAAAGCTGAGGCCTGGCTGGGCATAAGTGGCAATATGATGAGGGGGCTGGGGACTGAAGAGAGGGGGGTCAGAGGGGCTAGTGCAGGGGAGATGTCCTGGGAGAGGAGTCAGGTGCAGACAGAGAGGTCTGGAAAGGAGCAGCAGAGGGAGAGATCACGGTCGGACACGGGGACCTGGGAATTCTCGGGCCATCTGTGGGTGCTGCAAGATCGAGGTGTGACCATCTTTGGGCATGGCTGAGGTGGGTGCAGGAGTTCGTGGGTTAGCTAAGTGGGCAACAAGGGTCAGTGCTGGGCAGTACCGACCGCTGACTTGGACAGAGGTGTGGCTGCCTTGTTTGACAGACGAGGGGCGTGGACAGCACTCTGGACTGAACGTGGCCCACGTCCCCTTCACGGGGCGGCCCCACAGACCACCTTCCACACCGGGCAGGGCCTGGGAGGCCTCTCCCAGAGGGCATAGCAGGCTTTCAAGGAGAGATCTGGCTCCAGCGCCTGCCCCAGGCCAATCAGGTCATGTGTGCGAGAGGGAGGACTTGTGGGATGCCCCGCCCCCCTCACCTGTGGAGGAGCCTCGAAGGCTGGGTACACAGCAATCTCAGGCAGGTTTCTGTTGCTGATGTACTTGTAGCAATTCCAGACACAATTGATGAGATAAGCCTGACCAGAGAAGGGAGAGCCCCGTCACACCACGCCGGGTCACTGGGGAAGGCGTGGCCGGCCCCGCCCCCTCCTGTGCCATGCTTCCCCCCTCCTTCCCCCGCACAGACAACCCCTTTCGGCAGCCTCACACACGTCCTCCAGGCGCCACGCCAGGACGTGGCCCCCACACACCAAGAGGCTAAGTCCATGCTCTGCAGACCTCTCTCGGACGAGATCCAAGAGCCAGGGTGGGCCACAAGCCCAGGGTCAGATGGGGGAGGGGTGTCACGACGCCTAGAAGGCGCCATCACCCACCTACCTTAAAAATGATGAACAATGTGAAAAAGACGAGGATCAGGAAGAGAAGGCAGCTGGAGTCCAGCGCAAGCAGGTCGTCCTTGTAGGGGAAAGCAGGCTGTGGGAAAGAAAGGGCCGATGTCTGCGAGCAGCTGTCCCCACCCTGGGCCGGAGGGCCGAGGCCAACGTCACAGGCTTCGGGTTCTGCAGGGGGGGACCACGCCACGCCCTTCCCCAAACCTCCGCGGGGAACAGGACAGATGAAGGGCAGCAAAGCCTGGGACGTGCCCCCGACCTGCCCCCCAGCACGCCCCCTCGTGGGACCCCAAATTTCATCCTGCTCTGTAAAATGTGTCTCGCCTCACGGGGCGGGGGGGAACCTCAGAGCCTAGCTCTGTACCTCAGGTCTGGTGTGCACCACTGTGCCTAGCACTGGGCTGGGGCCAGAGACAACAGTCATTTACCTGCTGAATGGACAAATGCACACACCGGCACATGTCTAACTGTGACCAGGCCAAAGCCACGGAGCCTCCGGACCTCAGAGGGAGGCGAGCAAGGTCCCTTCTGGCCCCAGGAGTACATGCCATGATGCAGACACATGCCCACCAGGTTCGCGTGGCCATGCTGCCTCCCGGGAAGGCCCCCAACTCCCCCCTGGAGCTTTCATCTGGGGGCCACTTAGGGTCTTGGTGTTCAAAAGGCACCACGCAGGCTTTATCCCGGGGCTTACTCCCCAAGGCTTCTCCAGGCAAAGGGCACGAGACAGACAAAACCCGTGCCTAAATCCGAGGCCAGTCCAGCTTAGCGAGAGCCAAGGACGGATGTCCAGGAGCGGATACTCACGAGCTGATCCAGGTAATCTTTGATTTTCGGCAAATAAGTGAGCGAGCTGATGGCGACCAGGCAGCTGAGGACAAAGTCAAAAAGCCGGTAGCACAGGAACGGAATCAGCCAGCCCACACGATGCTGCGGAAGTGAGATGCGCCGCGTCAGGGGCCTCATGACAGGCGGGGACCAGGGATCGCCCCTCCCCCAGCAAACTGGCGACCAGGGCAAGCAAGTCCACAGCACCGGGTTTGAGTCCTGGCTCGCTCACTGGAGACCCAGAGGCCCCGGGCTCAACTACCTCCAACGTCCCTCCCAGCCCCGGGATCCTGGGATCCCCAGCGATGCACAATGCCCTGCTAGAGCTGTGCCCCAAGCTCCCACCACCAGGCACCGGCTCATTCAGGCAAAGGCCCCATCAGCGCCAAATATCTGGAGTGGCTTTTGTGGAAACAAGGGACACAGCCCTCCATGGGGAGAAGCTGAAATGGCCGTGGCCCACGAGGGATGCAGAGAAACATGGGACAGCGGGAGGGCAATGGGGAAAGCATCCGTGAGCATTAACAAGGCACAACAACTCGGATGGACTGGCCCCCAGAGGAGACGGCAGGAGACGCCTCCCCGCCTTCTCGCTGGACATCTCGGTTAGTCTGACTAAACTTTCTTCCTTCACTTGAAGGGACGGCTTGGGGAGGAATACACGTGATGTGAAAACGTCGCTTCCACACCCATCGATTCCCACCAATTCCCAGGCGGCAGCACCCCCGTCCAACCCCGGGGGACACTCACGGCAGCGGCTCCGTAGACCATCATGGCGCTGATTGTGAACATGAGCAGCGAGAAGGCAAAGAGGACGCAGGCGTTTTCTACAGACAAACACAAGCGAGGAGGTCAGGAAGCCACGTTCTCCGGGATTCGCCAGTCTGACGACCTCATCACAAAAACTGATCTCGAAGGTCTGGTTAAGGAGCACGGCCGAGGACATCGCTGCCCCCAGCCCGCGTCACCCGTCCCCTTCTGCCACTACAGACCCCGCCCCTGCCCCACAAGGGGCACATGAGAAGCCAGATGTAACGCTTGACAGTGACCTCCGCGGCCAAGCCTTCAGGGTCGTTCATCAGAGACAGGAAGGCCTGAATTCTGATCTGGCCTTCAGACATTTACTAGGTATGTGACTCTGGGTGAGTCACGTTACCGCTGTCTGCCTCAGTTTCCTCAGCTCTAAAATGAGGAAAATAAAAAATCTTCCAGGTTGTTGTGAGCATCAAATGAGATATTTGTAAAGTACTGGGCACAGCGCCTAGCACACACAGTAGGTCCTTAAATGTTTGTTCCCTCCCCGCCCAGAAGAGGCCCCCTCATCATCTCCTACCTCTGGGCCTCCGTCACCCCTCCACCTGGCCGTCTCCCACACCTGGATCTCTTCCCTCTCAGCACGACTCGTGACATTCTTTTACCATCAGAACGCATTTCCGGCACACAAACCCACGACGGGTCAGACCACAGGACTAGGCCCTAAGAAGTCTGTCCACGTCCCTCCCTCGTATCTCAGCCCAAGGCCCACGGGCTCACCAGCATGCCATGGTACCCAGAGGATGTCCTGGGGAGGACACGACACCCTCACTCGGGGCTCAGGCCACACTTTGGGCCACGTCTTTCCCAGGTCCCAAGAGCTCTATGTGGCTCTTAGGGACGATCCACACGGACATTCTCTGAAAAAGCCACTTGGCAAAATAAATGTGAGAAAGCCAAAACGCGTCTTTGGCTTGGCAAAGTCCTTGGGCTGACGGGAGGACTGTCCAGACCCAGCGACTGCCCAGCTGGGCCCTGGGGACAAGAGGCTCGCCCGACCAAGGCCCAGCAGGCAGGAGAAGCTGCAGGAGGAAGGCTGCGGAGGCAGCGCTGCCCCCGCACGGGGTACTTACCGGCCATCCTTTCTGAGGAATAGTAATTCCCAATGACTTCATACTGGAGATTGACAGTGACCACTGCACTGGGGTGAGTCACCTCCACGGTCAGCAGGATTCCCACCAACAGATTTACCACCTGGAAGAGAGAGGCTCAGCTAAGCTAACACCCCCAGCAGGCCGCACAGCTCTCACGAGACACAGAACTGTGCACGTGGCACGTGAGGCCCACAGAAGCCACCCCTTCTAACTGGGATTATTTCACATGACTCTATCATGGCCAGGCAGCCAGCAGCCCAGCGGAAACAAGAGGGCCACATTCTGTCTCAGCCATGGGTGGGGGGTGACCCTGGTGCACACTTAACCTGTTTCTGGCTCAGTTTCCTTGTCTGCGAAATAAGAGAAAAGGACGGGATGGGAAAAAGCAGTGGTGGCGCACCTACTGTGCACGGGGCTCTGTGGAGGTGTTCTACAAAGATGCTCTTAAGGACCCTCACAAGCCTCCAGGGGGGAGGTGCCATCGAGACCCCCATTAGAGACGAAGAAATGAGGCAGGCAGAGGTTCAGTGCCATGCCCAGGGCGTTTCTGAGGCTAGATTTGAACTCAGGTCTCCCTGACTGCAGGCCCCCTCACCACCACTACTTAACCATAACGCCTCCCCAGAGGGTTGCTGTGAGGATCCAAAGCGCCACCAGGCGCGATGCTCTATGTTCTACAAAGCTCTGAACGGCCCTACAGGAGGTAATGGCTACTGACACTTTGGTCACTGTTTCAGACATGCAACCAGACCAACGGAACCAGTCCCCCCCCAAACATCAGAAAATCTGATTGAATGCTGACATCTGCTAAGCCCCTCCCAGAGGCGGCAAGCCCGGAGCTCAGCTGAGGTCACGCCAAACAGACATGACAGGTCAAGTCAAGCCCCCAAAAGTATTTTTCTCTACCCAAAAGCCAACGCCCATTTTTAGAAAAAGAAAACAAAATATTCAAGTCAACCCAAAAGCCTTAGGGGATTAAGTGCTAACACCAGAGCCATACTGTTTTTCTCTGTACATGACAAACTAGAGTAATCACTGTGCTACCTCGATCACGACAATCCCCATCTATGCCCCAAACTAGGCCACGTCGTCCTGCCTGGAGCCCGAGAACCCAAGCTCTGATCCTGGAGCACGCTGAACTGCCCGACGCTGGGCGGGTCACTCTCCAGGCAAACACAAGAACGAGGCTGACAAACCCCAAATCCCAAATGGAGCCTTGTGGAATTACAAGGACTGAGCTGGTTCTGCACTGTGACGGGAAGGACGGGAAGGAGGAGGACGTGGCGTGCAGCCCCACCTGCTCTCCACGGATCCAAGTTGCGCCAAAGTATGAGCCCGCCCCCCAAAGAGGTTCCACTCTTCTCCCCACAGACACCCTTGTGGACAAGCCCAAGGCAGCCCCGCTGGAGATCCCAGGTCTTCTGGACCTTCTCCTCGTCTCCCAGAGGGCATCCCAGCTGTCCCCAAGCAGCCACCTTCTGGTCAAACCTCATCGTGTCCTGTGGAAGAAGCAGCTTGTGGGGACCTTCCTATTCTCTGCTTGTTGTGACCTCTCAGGTGTGGACACCATAACACACACTCTGTGTGCCCGGCCTCACCGGCTTCACCCCTGAGACGGGCACTAGGCACGTCCCCCATTGCATCTCAGGACTAAAGCCAAGGGCTTGAAGGCCAAGTTCCCTCAGCTACACCTAAGTCCCCAAACTCACGTTGTCCACAGATCTGTGCCTGTATCTGGCCATCGATCAAGTATTTCCTGACAAGCTATGTGCCAGGCACTGTGCTCAATGCTAGCGTGCCTGCCCTCCAGGAGCTTACAATCGAAGGGGGAGACAACAGGCTACAGACAGGATAAACTGGAAGGGAGGAGAAGGAAGGCCCTGAAATGAAGAGGGGCTGGAGGATTTCTGGAGAAGACGGGCTTTGACTCGGCCCCCTGATGCCAGGGAGGTCAGTAGGTGGAGCAGGAGGGCATTCCTGGCATGGGGACAGCCGGAGAACGGCCAGGCCCAGAGAGGAGTGTCAATATGCATTTATGAAGCACCTGCTACGTGCCACGCACCGTACCAAGTAACGGGGAGACAACGAGCAAACAGCTGTGTACGTACAAGCTACAGACAGGATCGACTGAAGCTGGGGAAGCCTAGAGGTGGAGATGAGGAAGGAGGGCATGGCCACTGAGTCAGGAAATGGAGGTAGGTGTGAGCAGAAGGCCCCTGCCCTGCAGGGCTCTGTCTCTGATTCTGGGGGTGACGACGGGGGATGCCACGAGGGGTCAGAGCTGGTGCTACTGCAGTAACTCAGGTGGGAGGGGATGGGGGTCTGCACCTGGCGGGGCGGTGACAGCAGAGGAGAGAAAGGGCACACTCGAGAGATGCCACGGAGGATCAAGAGGACCGGACGAGAGCGACCTAGAGACGGGGAGGAATCCAAGGTGAGGCCTAGGGGGCAGACCTGGGCGACTGGCAAGGCACTTAACCTGTTTACCTCACCTGGGAACCATCAATTCCTGAGTCACCCAACAGGGACGACCACCTGGCAGGGGGAGCGTCAGGGAAGGGTTAGCCCTGGTCAGGTCACGGAGAATAAGAGAGGCTCAGCAGACAAGTAGAGGGGCATCCAGGCACCCCACCCCAGCCATGGTACCCAGAACACACTCAGGACCAGATCTTCTGGCTCCACCACATCGACTCCACACCAGGCCCTGTTTCTAAGTCAGAGAGAGATCAAACGCCCAACCTCCCATTCGAGAGTGACAAGGCACCCGGGATTCTAGGGTCCGGGCTCCCTCACTACCTGGCTGGGCATCATCTTCTCCCCTCTGGGGGGGTTCCATTTCTTCATCCATAAAATAAGAACGTTTGAATGCTTTCAAAAGTCTCTGTGATTCCATAAATGTTTGTACCCCAAGAAACATGACAACCAGGTTAAGAGAAAATATCAAATTAATTCTTCAGGAAAAAAAGGTTGGTGAAAAGAATACCTATGATACAAATCAGCCAAAAGCATATTCAACCTGTTGGAGGTGAAAGGGCGTGTTAACCTTCAGAAGCATCAGGAATGAAAACAGACCATTAAATGCAAATAAAAAGTAACAGCTCAGTCCGAAATCTGTTTCCTTCCAACTCAAAACTCAAAGGTGAGAGGGTAAGAAAAGCCTACGGAAAGCTGTGCTCAGGCAGACCGTTCTGGAGACTTCACTCGCTCCCTACCACCCGTCACTTTCCCACATGGGAAACATCATAGAACACTGGGCTTTCACTCTTCTCAAGCAAAAAGGTCTGTTAAAAATCAGCTTTTTTTTTTCTATTGATACTATATTTTAATTTTCCATTTTCAGTTCCAAATTCTCTCCTTCCAGCCTCCTCCCTGGAGAAAGTGAGAAAAATAAAACTCATGACAAATATGTGCAGATCAGCCAAACAAATTTCCCCGTTATCCACGTCCTGAGAATTGACAGACGGAAAGGCAGGCTTTTCCCTTTAAAGAGGTCACCGGGCAGTTAGAGAACTGTTGTCAATGACAAGACCGCTGGCTCACACCACGCAGGGACTCCTCTTCTCTACAGGTGCTTCCTTCAGAGTTGACAGGATTTTTTTTTAACATTGTTCTTGTTTTCAGAAGTTAGACTAAACTTTTGAAATCGGAGCATTAGAATCAGCTGAGTGGTGGGTAGTAGGAGCAGGCAGCTTACTGGGTAGAGGTGAGTGCTATGAAGTAAGGAGATGAGGCCGCTTACACACTGACTCTGAAGGCAATCTGAAAATGGGCTGGTGTGCATGGAGAGGCATCAGTCGAAAGATGGGCGAAAGACGGGCTCTGCAGGCGGGGCAGAGTGAAGGGTCGTGCACGACCGCCAAGCCTGCTGACCTGAGGGCAGGTCTGAGATACCCATGGGACAGGCAGGTGCTGGTTGGAAATACCTGACTGGGGCTCAGAAGAGAGACCCAACTGAGAGCGGACAGACAGTTCTTGCACTATGTAAATTCACATTACACATATTTGACTTTACTTAAAGAATTCTGAAAGAAATCCGCATTCCAAAAGAAATGACAAAAATTCCTTTCGCAAAGCAGCTGCTGGACAAGTGGCTGTATGTAGGGTGGGAGGCTGAGAAGCATCTCCAAGTCAGCTCCCGCACATCTGCAGACAGTGAGTGATGGTGGGTCCCTCCCTGTGTTCAACAGTGACCCTTGTATTTTCACCATGGCTGGCCACAAACGGGCTCCCGAGGGGAAAAGTGAATCTGCTCATAAGCATAAGTCAAAAGACTCGGAAATGAAAATGATCAGCAAACATGAAGGAGGACAAAAACCATCATGGGGAGCACATGAACTTAGCCATGCAGGGTGGCCCACGAACACCATGGTGAAGGACACTGCCCCGAGGAAGGCGTGTGCAGAAGGCAGTGTTTATATCAAAATGGTAGGGGAGGCGCTGTTCCAGAGACAGACAGAACCCCAGACTCAGAAGACTACATCTCCGCTAAGCTGGAGGACAATTCAAACCAAGGCCTGGAGCCTCTTTGAAGTGAAGGTGGAGCAAAGCCGGCCTATTTTATCCAAGAATGCCATCTCGAACCGCCATCTCCGGGAGGGGCATAAAGCTTCACAAACAGTCACTCTTCTGCTCAGAGGGAATGCATCTAGACAAACTTGCAAGTTAAACCACCCTGTTCTTGTGCACCACTCAGAAAATCCCAGGCAGTGAAAGAAGGCAGGGATAACCCTCCCCATCTCAGAACAATGGCTGATGTCCTGCTTCAGCTTGGTCACCATAATGGCATTCCTTTCAAGGTTCCACTTATTTTGGACAATGGCCCAGATCACCCTCCCCATCTGGAGGATTTTAATGAAAATGTAAAAGTGGGCCACCCCCACCCCCCCAACACCACCTCATTATCACAGCCTATGATCAGGGAGTCATCCAGGCAACTGCAGCTTTGGATGCAGACAAGAGAAATTCTGGAAGTGCTGTGACATGTACCCTGCAATCAGGAATACTGTGAGGTCATGGAAGGATGGAACAGAAACATGTGTAAAGAGAGTTTCCAAAAAAGCATGCCCGCAATTCATTTTCAATTTTCATGGATCTGACAAA